TAATGAACCAGTTAGTTCTAACTTAATCAGATGTCTTTAAATGTAGTACGTAGCCACAGCTCTTTAAATGCAACAATATTTATCGGGAATAGTTTCTTAATATGGGTTTACGATGTTAATCTTTGTCTAATCGGTTTGGGTGGAGTATCTTTTAATCTTTAAAAAAGAATTGGTCATACAAAATAGAAAAAGAGACAGGAGGAATAGGACGGCAATAAAAATGAATAATTGCTCAAACTTTGATAAATGAAGCATGGCTTTTGAGGAAAAAAGTTAGAGAAGGATGGAGGAGACAACTTTTTTTATAAGCCACATGCAAAAGGCTTTCCTTCACACTCAAAACTATATTGTCACTGATTATGGTTTTATTCAGAAAATGTCTAACAAATTATAAATTAATTTGGGTGGGGAAAATTTAATGAGGATTGGATTAGGAAGATAATGAACAATTGGTAGGAAGATTAGTTTCAATTTGCACCATAAAATTTTTGGAATTGATAGTTTCTAGCTATTTTGTCTGCTACAAGTTTTTGGATTTTGGGTTGATTGTTTTGTTGTTAAGTATGACAAAATGATCATATGTGTAATGTCTTTACATAGTTAATGGTTTGTCTTCCTATAGGAAAAAACAAGGGAAGATTGGTCATGTAATTGACTATTGCCGCGTATGGCTACGATGATTCTTAGAAACGCACGAATGAATTCATAGTGTTTATTATGGTGTGATTGCCTGTCCAAAAAAAAATGGTGTGACTACTTCTTACTTTCCTAGTAGGCTAGTAGCTCATAGTGGATCATGGGTTGAGCCGATACCATTAAAGTTGAACCAAACCTTTGATTAACGTTGAAACATGTTCGAAGGCAAATACTTGGTTTTTCAAGCCAACTGTTTTTTACCAGGATTATGTTATGTAGTTTTATATGTAATAGTTGTACCATCGGAGCTAGTAAAGCTTTTTTGGGTAATTTATCGAACTTAGTCCATAGTTTGTACGTTGTATATGTCTATTGAGCTAATGTAAAATAAATAAATAAATAAATAAATAAATAATTGGTGATGTATTTTAACGTAAGAAAAATTATTCTAGTGGGATGAAATTGATGACATGTTTGTTCGTCAAGGGTTAGCAAAGTAGACCCTTAAATAAGGAGGAGAATTGTCGAATTGATAAAAACTACAGTCCGTTAAAGTGTCTCTATTGAAAATTGAACTTTCACATAATTTGAATGTGATCAGAATTTCTCTATCTGATCTAATTTCTAAATTTGATCAAAATTTAACTTTATTTATACAAGATCAAACAAGGGAAATAAAATCTTGTTCTAAAACACTTGAAAATCGACCATTTGAGTTAGGCTCTGGCATAGTAAAAGGGCCAATGCATGGCCCAACCATTCTAGTCGTATTTATAGCAATGTTTAATTTTAAATCATTGCCCTGAAATCAAGGTGGTAAGTGGGTCATAAATCCATAATGATTCAAGTTCTATAGTACTCGTATCATAACTCAGAAGCTCATGTATTAGCCAATTATATACACTTGTCTACGGCCATCTTACTCTATAGACTTCAGAAAATTATGTACGTAGTAGAAAGTTTTCAACTACTCCAACAGAGAAGAGATGTTATCTAGGTATTAGCCAATGCATTGTATTAGAAGAGGTTGCTTGAGGTCCATGCTAGTCATTTTTCATTTATTTAGTAATAGCGTAGATGATATTAGGCTAACATATATTCACGTGAAACCTTTCATAGAATGGCAAAGATTAAGCAGATCAATCTTACACATATACTGTTAGATGTACAATCTAATAAGAGGTTACCTTACACAGCACAATCGCTTTTATATTTTTAAGGGTCTGTTCTCATACGTTTATTTTCAGTTCAGTTCAACTGAGTTCAGTCAATGAGAACGGGCCCTTATTGTAGTAAATTTACCAATTCGCCATCAATTAAACCCTCTACTATACATTTTTTTAAAAATTGATAAGGAGCACTTTGATCAGAGCCCAACCCTCACGTTTTTTTTTTTTTTTTGCCGAACATTTGTAGGTTAGGTACTTGGGAGTAGAAGGAAGGGTAAGGGAATCCCTCACTTGGTAGAATTCGAATCTCATACCTCTAGGATCTGAGATAAGAGTCTTACCAAGTAAACCAACACTTTATTGGTAATCAAACCCTCTACATACCTAACAACTTTCTCCACTAATATAATAATCAACCATCGCCCTCGTTACTCCATATTATATTAATTTTGTGAACATACGAATTTAGTTTTTGTCAAATAAAATAAAGTAATTTCATACTCCGTATATAATAAGCAAATACTCGTATTAACAAGCGAGGTCGAGAATTGAATTAGAGCACATAAATACTCCAAAATCCTTTTCAAACTACACGAAATGAAACTTCTCGACTATCCAAAAACAAAACCTATAACCATACTAGTTGGTAATACAAGTATTTCATTTCATTAACTCTCCTCTTATAAGTCAAAGTTTAATAAGAGTAATTCAATCAAAAAGAGGCATCCAATCATGTTGTGGCAAACTTACGTAGATGATCATCTTATGTGCGACATCGAAGGCAATCCGCTGCTATCCTCGGCCACGACGGCACCGTTTGGGCTCAAAGCCCCTCTTTTCCTCAGGTCTCCTCCACCCCTATAACCTAGCCTTATTTCGCAGTCATTTTTTTTTTCGTTACAAAAATAATAATGTAAAGGAGATTTGATCTCGGATATTGACTAAAGTAGTTGACATCCCGTGTGATCGTACTATCATAGTAATAATAATATAACATGTACCGAGTACTATTATACTTTTACAGCCTCTGAATTTTATTTTATTTTAACATAATCTCTAGAATATGTTGCACATGTTTGGAATATTCTTAATTAGTTATATGCTTTCTAGGATGATCCGGTTCAATTTTGTCAATATCCTCTGCTTAGTATTTTAATGCTATAAAATTGAGGATGTTGATTTTTTGTATCATGTATGATTTGATTAAGCAAAGTGATCAATTGGGAAGAATTGCTCTTTCAGTGACAAAGTCATGAAATGGTCAAAATTGTAAAGATTTTGAGTTTGTCTGATATATAGTATGTTGAACTGATCAATGATGAGACCAATCTTGGTTGGGCTATGTCCCCGGGCCAGCCCGACAAAGCCTGGTCCATCCGACCTGGTTTATATGGCCTGCCTTTTCGGACATGGCCTGACCCATGATCACCTTTAAATAGCATCTTGTAATTAGGCCTATATGAGATGAAACAATGAGGCATATATACAATTGATCAGTATAATCAATCAATTGTACCAATTGGTTGTTGGTGCAATGGTGATTGATATTGCACTTGGTAGGAAGGACTGCGTGTTTGATCCCCCCAACAACAATTGGGAGGGGACTGGTACCTAACTAACCAAAACTGAGCCCTGAATCTGGATTAGCCCATAGGGTAAACCGGGTGGAGCACCAAAAAAAAAAAATCAGTATAATCAATTGTAAAGCTACTGAAGTAGGGAAGTAGTTTGTATAATTAAGCGTAGTTTCGCCGCTGCCATACTAATTTTATCTAATCTGCTGTTTTTATGAAACAGGCATTTTGGTTTGTTTACTCATTTATTGATCAGTGTATTGCAAGAATTTTTGCCAAGTATTCATTACTAATTTGATGGCCAAACTATTTTCTGCATTACAAGAATGGTTTTATTGTAATATCTACTGATCTTAAGGATAATAGTACTTTTCTGCATGAATAATTTTCTATCTGATGTTCTGACTCTTGAACTAATGTTGTTGTAGCTTAAGCCTGAAGAGGTAAGTGCCATCATGAAGGACTTTAACGAACCTGGATCTCTCGCTCCTACTGGCTTACATCTTGGTGGCACAAAATATATGGTGATCCAAGGCGAGCCTGGAGACGTGATCAGAGGGAAGAAGGTATTATTTTCTTGATTTCCTGCTCCTTGACCTTACCTAGTTTTCGAAAGTTATAACATATACTCCATACTTTTTGGCTGTCAAATTGTGTCAATTCAAGTGTGTGTCAACAGCATATTAGAGCAGAACATTAGTATGGTTCAGTTTTCGAATTGTGAACTGGTTGATCATATTTGATGATGTCCTAACAGGGCCCTGGAGGTGTAAGCATCAAAAAGACCAACCAGGCTTTGATAATCGGAATTTATGATGAGCCTATGACTCCTGGTCAGTGCAATATGGTTGTTGAAAGAATTGGCGACTACCTTGTTGAGCAGGGCATGCAAATAAGAAGTTATTTGTTTTGTGTTAACTGACAGCGTGCTTTTAGATCATGTCGTGTCTTTATTATGCCTCTGGAACGGGATCCTCTTCAGTACCTAGACGGTCTGGTTATTGAGGAATTGGGATTTTGGAGCATACAACGTCCCATTTATGCTAAATTTTTATCACATTCATTATTGACTATGTGCAGTAAATTTTGTACACCAATTGTGTAGGTTGTGGAGTTCTGTGTGGACTAGTCCGGGGTTTGAGTATCTTCAAATAGCTTCCTTTGTCTTCCGTTTTATGGTCTCTCAAAGAGAAGTAGATACTTTCAGGTGTAATTTTCAAGATGCTGAAAGACTTACAATTGCTAATGTGTAGCAAATTAGCTGATTGAAGATATTAGCTGCATTTTTACATTATTATGTGTATATATGATTTTCCCCCCTAAAGAATGATGGTTGCTAATCTTGCTATGTATACCTTTGTCACTCTTTTGGAGATGTATGTTGCAAAAATTCACATGGTTATTTCCTGCGCTTGCTTTTTCTTAAGAATATCATGCAATACCGCCCCCTTAAACTTTGTCAACTATTCGATTGGCATCTACTTGTATGCTTATAAAGAGGTTATGAACATTTACCTAGTTGATATCCCAAACAGTAAACAGATCACTTGTCAAAAGTTTTCACAATTCAGTACACCTTATTTATCACGTTTGGCAAAATTTATATCGAGTACTCTGTATATAAGATCAACAAAATAACATAAACATACGACAATACAGAGCTTTGAAACAATCTGATTCTGATTGCCTAACAAAATTGGTCTCAGCAGCCAATATTTTCATCCAAAGAAAGAAGATGCATAGTCAGTATAAAAAATACATGAAGTGGATTGTGTAACTATTTAACAGCGGAGGATCCCTGACAGATCCTACAGATTCGGCAGAGCTAAGGGGATAATGGATCCTGGATGATCTGTTCTTTGTCCAGCAAGCGAGTAATAAGCAACAAAGTTTCCATTTATATTATATTTGTCCCCATGAACCAGCTCGATGTTCCAATAGGGACGAGCCATTTCTAGCAAGTCAATAGTACCTGTTTCAGAACTGCGGTATCCTTGAACCCAAATGTACCTCAGAGAGCTAAGTTGTTTAGCAGCAATTGCTAATGCACGTTCTGTAAAGCAGCAAGCCCTCATTTCAAGTGCCCGAAGCCTAGGGCAGCCTTTAGAGAACTCAAGAAGCCCTGCATCGGTTTCTCCAACACTGCCTAAAAGCACTCTCTTCACATTTTGACTGTACTGACCGATGTAACTGAGGCCTATATCACTCAAGCCTCCCTGTCGAAGGTACAAGGATAATCTTCGGAGGTTCTGACAACCCTGCAGAAGAGCTCGTACTCCATTATCAAGGGGGAGATCAGTGATTGTTTCTTCCTTGTCAAGCAATACAAGCCGGAAAACATTCAGATTATTCAAGTTTGCACCTACACATTCCAAAGCCTCATTTCCTATATCAGCCACATTGATAGATAAGTATTCCAGGTCATGACAGCCCTGTGCTACAGAAATTAGACCTCTATGTGTAACTGCACCTGCTCGAACTCCAAGTGTTGGCACATCTTCCCCTCGTTCTACCCGAAGTTTCTTTAGTCTCTTACATGTTAAAGATACCACTTCCAAACCTTGATCCCCTATCACATCAGTTGTCTGTTTAAAAACAACAAGCAAGAATAGTAAGAGGCAGAAATTCTGGTGGCAAAAATAGGGATGCCAGCATGAAGTCTTGACGTTTTCAATTCAACATAGACAGCAATCCTTAAAAATAAGTTATTCTGACAGAAAAAAAAACAGCAAAGATTCAGATGAAGATTTATACCTCCAAAACTCGTAAATTATGACATCTTTGTAGTAAGTCACATTGAGCGCCACAGGTAAGTGTTGCATAAACAATATCCAACTTCCAGAGCGAGTTTGCAACAGGAAAACATATAGGCAAATAATTGTCCAACATGTACATAGGACCGAAAGAACTTAGTTGAGTAGGAAATACAATATCAGCATACCGGTCTAATTCTGCATCAAAACAACTCCCACAAAACTCTTGCAATCTTGCAGCTATACGAAAAAAGTTTCTAAGACAGAAAAGATCAGTATCACTAATTTTGACAGAAATTAAGGGACAGTTTCGGGCTAGAAGTTCAAGATCTTCAACTTTGATCTTCTCCAGAAAAGTCATGTAGTAATTCAAATATTCAAGAACCGTATTGCTTAATGCTAGCTGATGAAACCATTCACCATTCATCTCATCTACACTGCTTTCTTCTAGAAACAACGTCCTCAAATTCCTGCATCAATTAATGGCAAGTTCATACAGCTGATCAGTCACCAAAAATTAACCATATTTAGGCAAAATATACATTCTTAGGTACATACATAGATAGCTCTCTACATATGAGTGATAAAGATCACGAAAAGGGGTAATCATCGCGCTATTTAGCTCCTCTGACTTGTGGAGATATGCTAATAAATAAATAAAATTTGTCACAAAATGGCATCTCAGAAAGACTAATCATAATATTAATAGATTATAGACTATAAATTATTGATTACGCGACAACTATATAGTATATATATATACATGCCTATTAATTAATTCCGAAATGAAACAGAACATGACATGAAAATGGACTTAAAAGGGTGAGAAATATACGAGCAATGGCGAGTAATATGCAAAAGACCATCAGTAGAGAAGCCAGAGCACTTATCCAACTTCAACAATTGCAAGGAACAGCCTTTAACCGAACCAATCGTGTAAAGATCAGCATCTGTAACAATCATACGCCTAAGATGAAGGGAGTTTAGACAACGAAAACTCCCCAACACATCGATCCAAGGCTTAGCAAAACCTCCCCAATCATCCGGTATCAAATTATACATGGCTGGCCTCGGCTTCCCCTTAAGCCTCAATGACTCAATGTTTGGAAAACGATCATAGAGTCGTTGAGGGGTCGTGGTGTAACAAAGATAAATAGTGATAGTACGTCTTGTCAGCCTATCTAACTCGTACCATCGCTTTGACACCATTGAAATTGATGATCTATCACTAGGATCTTGAATGTATGGTATGCAACATTCAAGAATTTCATCTGACATGGTGAATTTTCAAGCTATAATGGTTTGAATTTTGAAATTAAATATTTATGAATGAATAATATTGAATAAAAAAAATTTGAGTAGATTTTATCTTGAGCAAATGTATGTGTATTAGATTTATCAGCTTTAGTTGCCAAGAAAAAGGCCTATTGAGTGAAATGAAAGGTACATGCAACTGAAAGACTGTAGTACATGCTCCAGCTTATGTGGGAGGTTGTTGTGCTATGTAAACCACAAGTGTGTGCCATCCTTCTCATGCTATCATCATGCTTGAGTGTGTGGCTTTGCTTTTATATGGATGGATGTCAATTCATATCGGGTCATTTTCAAGTAAGGCTCTTCCAAGTTGTTTTTGAGTTCGGGTTAGTTTGTGTGTTAGGTCGAGTCGAAGCATTTTCGGCTTTATTAAAAAAATTAAAAAAAATCATTATTAGAAACATTGATTATCAAGTCAATTCAATTTGGTTGAGATTAGTTCATTTCATATCTAATGATTTCAGGTAGATTTTGAATTCCCTACCAATCATGCAATAGATATATGAAAGTCACAAATTAAAAAAAAGTGGACCCTATTTGAATTTGAAGAGTGCAAACACTAGTTTAAAATCCAAGGCCTGCCAAGATTTAAAAAAAAAATAAAATGTACTCTAGACAAGAATATGAGAAAACCTTTCTACCTTCCAAGCAGACTAAATCATGCGCACTACTCCATACTACAATATGTGCAGTTAGAAATCCTAGCCTTAAACCACATTCACAGTGGCAATATGTATGCCGGTTTACTGTTTTAGACCATCCCATTTACATGGTCATATTACAAAACTTAGGCAGGGCTGTATGTTTGACATCACATCTACACTCCCAACCTTAGGAAAGAACGCATCCTCCGATCCATTTTGAGCCTCAGTTCCTCATCCTCGTCCATCAAATGCCACTGAAACTTTAAAGCCGTTATTTCACACAAGTGGTAGCAGAAGTGAAAGCAGTCCAGCAGAAATCCATGGAACAAATGCAGTTTGCCTCTGAATTGATATGGCTTTTGCAGGTGTAGCACTCATATTATTTGAAGCAGAAGTTTTCTTGTTCCTGTATGAAAATAGACATTACAATACAATGTTAGAAAGTTAACATAACATGACTAATGAATTAATCAAGTCAGCCGTTTATATAGATTGCATTGAAGTAATGGGATAAGTAGAACATACCCTGCAGTCATATACAGGCACTTGTCGTAGCCTGCAATAGTAAACATAACAATGTTTAGTTCACTACACTGATAGAGTACAATATCAAGCCAACTGAACAAGTTCTCACAATATCCTCGTAAATAAATCTAGATTATTAAAGAATGCTATATTATGTTGCAGCGTGTATATGCTGGTGCTATCTTCCCTCCTCTCTTTTTCTGACACCTTAATATCAACATATACCATGAACAACCTGTTATTTGATTGTGCAGAACATACATCAAATTTGAGACATCACCAATATTGAAATGTATACTACCACAACTTTTCAGGATACCTGCTTCAAATTTAGTAACATATACATGCAAGAGTGTCGTGTAGCTTAATCAAGTTTATGCAGATTGATGAGCTAAAATTTGTTCAGAACCAAGAAACTTACTTGGATCCTTGGTAACTGTAAGACCTGCCCCGCCAAAACTACAAGCAACATCAGTGGCTCCATTTTGCTGGTAATAACTGTTGAATGCAAAGGATGCATGAGAAACTAGAGTATTAGGCTCATAACAAGGCTGGCTAGGCTGTATTGGTGTACAATCTACATCTCCAGGTCCACAAGCCCAATTCAAGGCATTTTTCAAATCTGCCTCAGTAGCATTTGATGAAGCAATACACCAAGTTGGCTTGGTACTGTTAGTAGAATTTCCCCCTCCAGCCATCTCAGTGACACCTTTTCCAGTAAAATCCAGATTATAGACACTCGTCCCACCTGGGTAAAATAAACCCCAATTCCTCTCAGACTCCATTCCTGGCTTCCTGTTTTCGTTGAATAGCGAGAAGATATAGACATCGAGTTCCTCTCCTGGCTTAGCTGGCGTTCCTGTGTCATTGATGACATGGCGAATGAGATTGGTGTTAAATGTCTGAGCATTATCAGGAGTAGCAGCTGTCTCCTTTGGAGATCCTTTAGAAGGCCACCCCGTTTCAGTCACCATAACTTTGATGGTTCTGAAATTTAGAGCCATCAGTGCAAAGTACAGAGCATCGATTTGTGCATCAAACATATTTGTGTAAAGCATGCCAGTGTTTGGATCAATGACCTCAGATGATGATTGGAAAAGAGCATAGTCTAATGAAACATTGGTGGGGGAATCTCGGTATGCATAATAGGGGTAAATGTCAACCATAAAAGGTGACTGGTTTTCAGCAAGAAACTCCAACATGGGTTTTAGATAGTATGCATAATGGCTACTAAAAGCTCCAGCTGAGGGTGGGAATGAACGAGACAAGACCCCAAGGGAGTGGGTGCTTGAGACCTTAATCTTCTTATGCAAGCCGACTTTCTTTAAAGCTGTGAAGACATTTCTCATAGCAGGAACAACCATCGCAGAGACATTCTTCGGGGCCTCAGTCACCTCAGCACCAACTGTTATGTATGTGATCTTTGTGGTTGGATAGTATGGGAGGATACTGTTTTTGAGCCAGGAGTCAACATTGGATTGAAACTGAGAGAACGCAAGCAAATCATCGTTTGGGACCCCAATCATAAGCTCCACTCCACTATTGGCAAATGCTTTGAGAACCTGAACATTGGAGTCATAAATCCTGACATATTTGATGTTGTGCTGCTTAACGAGGTCTGCTGCTTTATCAGGAGTTGGAAGATCGTCACCATTCCGTCCGTAGCAAACTCCAATTGTGCTGCCACTACATATATCTGTAAAATAGATTTCTCCAATAAATCATAGCTAGTATACCATTGATTACAAGACAGAAAAACAGCAATTTTTCCTTTTATATGCTTTTTGAAACAAGATATTGATGTTATGGCCATATGGGGCTCAATAGCTTTAATTCACTCTTTAAAATGTCAAAAGAAGATATGAAGCATCAAATTGTAAAGGTCCCTCTTGAGGACCCATAAACAAATGTTGCTAAAAAAAGCCACATGAAAATCTTGCTTCACTTATCAAATTCTATAGCGCAACAAGATGCACACCGAATGACCATGACCATAATTCATAGCAGTAACTGACAGTCAATTGCCTTACATCAAAATATTTAATTTGGCTATATTATTTATACATGACACGAGCCACAATGATTGAGGGTAGTACTAAGATGGGTGACCTCTTGGGAAGTCCTCGTGTTGGTTCATGTAGCCGACCCCACTTTATGGGATTATGGCATTCAAGCAAGCAACCAAGGGTGAATTGATCAAATTCTTTGATCAAAAGGGAAGCTGACCTCTTACCCAAATCATGCTAATCATGCTAACCATCAAACAATTTCACATGATTGATGAGAACTTCATACTCATGATTTGTTTACTGAATTCAACTTGTCAAAACTTATAATATTAGCCCCTATGTTTTCTGAACCTATCTAGCCTCATTTGAACTTATCCCCCCTATCTTATTCGAACTTATTAACTCTTATCAAGATTAATTTAAACGTATTAAGCTAATGCCATTTTGTCTCTCACTTCAAATGACCTTTACTAGTCACTAAAAGCACAAGAGTGACAAAAACTACAAACAAAATGTCATTAACCAAACAAGAAATTACCACTAAACTCCTCTGGCACCTCAGCAGAACATGTGAGGAACCCTCCAACTTCAACAAGACAATTTGATAAATCTTGTTTTGGCAATTTACACTAAATTCAAGAACTTACTTAAATTACTATAATTTGCCAAAATTAGAGAGCTGAAATCACATAAATTCACACATTAATATATCATCTTTTATTAGTCAAATTTCCAGAAAATCAGTAACCCATTTTCATGCATACTTCCAACTGAAAAAAATACAAAATGACATCTTTATTCAAACCATCAATAAATACCCACCAACCAGCATAAAGACTCATATCAGCAACAACGAAATTCATAAATACAGTCCCTTTTTTTTTTAAGCTATACACAAAACATATATAGTCAGCATTTCAGCTAAATGAAACTCTGAATACATTAAAGATCTTGCTAACGAACGCTCTAGATAAGTAGATAACACTTTAAAATATTTCCAAATATGGTATTAATTTGATAATGCATGCCAAAATCACACATCAATTGGTGTAATTAATGTTTAATTCAATTAAATTTCCTACTTTTCATTATCTTATTATCTAACGTCTGCAGGACATTCGTTAGCTTTTGTCCGATGTACTATAGTCTTAACGACACCAACTATAGTCTTGACGACAGCAAAAACTTTAATGTTGAGTATGCTCAATAACACGCTACCCGTAAACTCCGCCGGATTCCGGTTAATTTCCTTTTTTTTTTTTTAATCAAGTTTAGAAATATTATAGCAGAATGTTGGTCTTACTTTCTTCCACAAATACCCAAACTCATAATAATAGTAAAAATCAAAAAAATAAAAATAAAAACATAAAACCCAGAAATTTAAAGTAATGTAATTTAATTTACTCAAGGAATTAATGAAGAAAACAAGAAAATGAAACTTACCCAGAAAGCTAAAGAGGAAAGAAGCAGCAAAAATGAGTCGAAATCTCCAAGCCATTGTTACTCAGAAAAAAGCAAAGAACAATTTCTTCACTTTAAATTTCGTATAAATAAAAAAAAAGGAAGCTTGAATTAAAATGTAACGTTATAAATATATCCGTTAAATTGCTTCTTTTTAGTATTCTGAACTGTAGAGAGTTCCAAGGCTCGAGAGAAAGAATGGAGGAGAGAGAATCATAGGAAGAAGCAGAAAAAATAATGAAATTTTAGTGGGTTTTTGTCAGATATTGATGGTGAATGAACAGAGGTTTTAGCGGATTTCAGGTTTTATTTTATTTTTTTGTAAAAAAAGATGGAATCGAGTTCTGAGAATTACTCTTAATTCCGGGATTTTCTAGCATGTCTGTTTCACTGTTTTTCCCACTATATTAATACAGTATAGAATATAAAGTACTTGTGTATTATTATGATTTATGCTATATTATGTGGAGGTTAACCATTTTATTTGTCACTTAAAGATTGCTCTTTATTTATTTTTATTTTTTTTATATGGAGTAGGTTGTTTCTAAGAATGGGGATGGGATGTATTGGGTTGGGTTGGACTGGACTAGATTGGATTGGGTCGATCAAACATAGCACAATGCACGAAAATGTCCTAACTTGATCCATACCCACCATAACATGAAAGGCGCGTCAGATGACTATGAGTTGTGTATGAAAATTATTTTCATAAGTTAACACTACAAGTTGTCGAATCAGCCTGCTTTTATGTACACCAATTTATTACATACTTCGTACAAAAAAAATTATTAAGGGGACCGTTAGTATGACACGTACTGACGTAGGGTAGGATGTACAAGGGCTACGTTGTTGAATGTGTGGTCAACACAAGCTCGATATGAAATGATTTTTTTTCTATCTATTTTAAACACCACGAGATATGCTAACAAAACATGTGAGCCTACACACCCTAGATCAAACCCATATTTAGCTTGTTCCTAAACATTATCATTCTTTTCTTTACTTTAAATGCTCACATACTTTACATGCTAAAACAAATCTAATTACCCATTTAACATAGCTCAAAAAATTATTTTTTTTTTTCAAGAGTTAACATATCTTAATTAAATGAATAAGGATGAGCCAACTTTAGAGATCGAGGAGTGCTCCCAAATTCTTTTTTTTTTATTTATTTATTTATATTTTTTATATATCCATTAAGAACTTTAAAATCTTAAATCAAATTTTGTTTATATTATTTGTCATTATTAGTTCACATATTGACACACGCATGAGCGTACACACATACTATATCGTATATACTGTGTACACCGTATACGGAGTATCTTTTTAAAGCAACTAGATCTTATATAGTTAGGTTAAACATTGGAAGATAATACTATCAAAGATCTAATATTGAATTTCATCTATGGAGTACATATATATCAATAAAATCCATGCATGCATGTAGCTTATTGCAGCTTTTTCTACAATCAAAAAAATTACTTCCTACTTAGGGCATGTTCTCATAGACTGAACTCAGCTAAACTAAACTGAACTGAAATGAAATGAATATTTTATAAGAGAAGGAAATTAAGAGCTGAACTGAACTGAACTGAACTGAACTGAGCTGAGCTTAACTGAAAATAAACGTATGAGAACAGGCCCTTAGTATGTACAGAGACGTACAATAGTTAGATAGATACACTCCATATTTTACCACGGGGATCGGACTACCCCCTAGTCTCACATAAAATAATTTTGCCCAACTTATCTAGCACCATTTTAGTTTCTTATAAACCTCACTTAACCAAAAGTTAACAAATTAAAGTCAAAAATGCATAAGGGATATATATTTAGAGATAGAAGAAACAAATTTTCATTCTAAAGAATAATATTAAATGATATAAATTTATAATTATAGTATAATACTGTGCAATTATGATTTATGAAACACTGATAAAGCTGAAAGCTCTTCGCTTCTAATTCTTTGTTGCTCAGTGCCTGTATTTTATACAAGTAAATAAGTAGAAAAGGTTACATATGATAGTATGTTGGGAGTATTTGGGTTCTTTGCTTGCAATATGTGGTTTTATTGTGTCTTTACATGCTGCGAGTACATGCAATTTACAACGGTCAAGATATTACATATATACTTTACTACTAACTTCAAATTTTATAAGAAAACATTAAATCTCATCCTAACTTTTGAATGTAAGATCATCTTTAATGTGGACTCAAAAGTAGATAATAGTGTTGCTAAGTACTCCATACTACTACATAACAACTCTCTTTTGAATGAATTATTAGAGATTATAGCTTTTTTATTATTTAAATGGTTTACAATAAGTCATTGTCTAAGGTTTTGACAATCTAAGTTAAGATAAAACTATAATCAAATACCAATACTTACCTATATACAACTACGAAATACTCCACTATTATTCATTACAGAGTAAAATATACTCTGTATATATTTGTAAAATGTACGCAACACAAATAATCATTTTAAAAACAATTATTATACGACATTTCACATTAATCACAAACAAATTAAATAATCTTGTCTCAAAAAAAATAAAGAATGATATGATCTAACCCGATTACATGTTGACGTGGAATGACTCGAATCAAAATGATCCAAATGACCCGATTGCAAAGTCTAATTGTACTCGTGCTTCGTAATAAATAAAATAAGCAATTTATTTAGCAAAAAGTCAAAAAATGAGTCCACATTATGATAGTCCAAAAGTCCATACTCCTCGTTTTGGCGGTCATCCTTATTCAAAATCCTCACTCCACTCTCTCTCCTTCTCTATTAAACCCTAATTTTTCGACAAATTCAGAATTCCGACCGATCAAATGAAGACGAAGACTCCATTGAAGCAGCTCAAGCTCTCTCTTCCTGCTCAAGAAACTCCCATCACTAGCTTCTTGTAAGCTCATTTTGATGTCATCTTTCTCTCTCCTCCCCCAATTTTGTAATCCTTGTTTCAATTTGATTGATTGCAATTACTCTATTTTAGGGTTTTGTGTTCGAATTAATTGGTTAATTTTACATATTTAATTTGATTATTTTTTTTTTTTATTATTCTGGGAAATGGGACTGAATTGAAATTGATGTTTCAGGAGTGCGAGTGGGACATTTCAAGATGGTGATTTGATGCTGAACCAGAAAGGGTTGCGGCTTAAATCTGATAATAAAGAACCTCGTGTAAATTTCTGCTATTCTTTTTTATTTTGAATTCTTATTGATTGTGCTAGTTTCTAATCGATGTTTAATTTTCCGTTCAAAAAATAAAAAATTGATGTTTAATTTGTGGGTGCTATTAATGCCTTATCAGTGTTATCACTGAAATTAGTGGGAGTTTTCGGCCAATCGATTTCGGGTTTAAATGGTATTAGCTTTGATAACTTTGTTGAGCACTGGTTGAGGTCTGTTTGACTGTATCAAATTTGATGTCCATTTGTCCTGTATAATCTTAGGATTGAACTCTAACTTGTGAATGCCACATTGTAGTGTAAGTTGCTTTACACTACTCCCTCCGTCCCTTAATTAGATGCCTACTTCTCTTTATTATGTGAGTAATAAAGGCTAAAGATAGGCATCTAATAAAGGGACGGAGGGAGTAGCGATTTCAGTTGGTAGTGTAGATAATTTAAAATCCCGGAGTCAACAATTGCAATCTGATTCTTGTTACATACATGGTTTGTTGGTATTCTTCATAAATTCTAATAATTGAACAGTTTGGTTTTATTTGTATATTAATTAATGGTATGGTCATGACATTTACAGACTAACACAAGTTATATAATTCATAGATGGGCTATCAATCTGGTATTCTGCCTTACATGACTAAGCAGAAGCAAGTGAACATCTCATGTGGTCCATGTGATCTATGTAACTCATCAACAGCCTCAACAATTTAAAGTTTCTGTTATTCTGCATTGAGTGCATAATCATGACGGGTTTTCTTTCTTCAAAAATTTCTGAACTAGTGTTATTTGTTTGAACAGCAATCAGATGCTAAAGAGCTTGACTTTCAAGTTACATTGGAAGATCTTGAGACTGTAAAGGTCATTGGTAAGGGAAGTGGTGGAGTTGTTCAGCTTGTTCGGCATAAATGGGTTGGGAAACTATTTGCTTTGAAGGTAATTGTATTTATGACTGTTTCATATCCCGTGATCTACTACTCTGTACCTATTTGTTATTCTTATGTGGAGAGTAAATTAAGAAGTATATCAAAAATTCAAAACTTGTAGTACCACAAGGAAATGCCAACCTTTCTTTTACTTTTTGAGGGGGGGGGGGGGGGGGGTTATGGAGTAAAAGCCAAAAAAAATAGCATCGTAATAATGAAGGATGGTCTAAGGCGAATATTTTGCTTCTTAGACAACAATTTATCAGATTCAAGTTCATATTGGCCTAGAGTGTAAAACGTGCTGCATTCCTTTTCCTAAACCAAGATGCACTACAATATAACAATCACTTTGTAGCTTTTCATATTAATATTGGCATTGTTGTTTAATTTGCTGCTTCTTTGTAATTTTTGAGCAACAATGTCAGTTGCTATCCCCTTCTACCTATGTTTAATTTGGTACGTGCCAATGTTAACAGGAGCCATCCTAACTGATTATCTTAAGTTACAGTGTTTAATATGTTAACATGAACATTCCTAAAATTACAAATTTTATTCAATAATGTATATGTGACTAATATATACAAATGCTATTGCAATTTAATAAGATCATTCACATGAATCTGTAAGGAATTTTTTGTACTTGTAACAGGTCATCCAGATGAATATACAAGAGGAGATTCGTAAACAAATTGTACAGGAGTTGAAGATTAATCAGTCATCTCAGTGTCCTCATATAGTTGTATGCTATCATTCCTTTTATCACAATGGAGCATTCTCTCTAGTTCTAGAGTATATGGATCGTGGCTCTTTGGCGGATGTCATTAAACAAGTCAAGACGATCCTTGAACCTTATCTTGCTGTTGTTTGCAAACAGGTATCTTTTTCTGGTATTTCATATCAATGCTTTTGCATATAGACCCTTATTTTATTTGTTCTGGGTGAGTAGCTTTGTTCTTCTTTGCAGGTATTACAAGGTCTTGTATATTTGCATAATGAAAGGCATGTCATACATAGGGACATGAAGCCTTCCAATCTATTGGTAAATCACAAAGGAGAAGTAAAGATTACCGACTTTGGTGTCAGTGCAGTGCTAGCTAGCTCAATGGGTCAACGTGACACATTTGTTGGGACCTACAACTACATGTCGGTAAGTTGAAATTACCTTTCTCATTCTTAGCTACAGTCCAGGAATGGTAATTCATTAACCTGCTACAAACATTTTTGTGCATGTTCTAAGCTGATACATGAATTGTGTGCCTAACATGTCATGTCCAGCCGGAGAGAATTAGTGGAAGCTCTTATGACTATAGCTGCGACATTTGGAGTTTGGGTTTGGTTATGTTGGAGTGTGCCATTGGGCGTTTTCCCTACATACAAACTGAAGATCAGCAAAGTGCACCGAGCTATTTTGAGCTTTTGGCAGCTATTGTAGGAAGCCCAGCCCCTTGTGCCCCATCCGATCAGTTCTCCCCAGAGTTTTGTTCCTTTATATCTGCTTGGTAAGAACTTAGACACATCAACTCTTCGAGAGAAATATCTGGTTCATATGATGCATATTTGTTCAAGATCTTTTAGTCTCAGTCTCTCACTTAACTTTATCCTTCTGTTAAAAAAAA